AACCACTCCTCGGAAGGAAGGTTGGGCAATCCTACTTCCGTAGTGATACTGCCTCGGAAACCCAAGGAGGGGTTGCTATGAGTCGGGGCCGACTCGACGGCACATAACAACAACAACAACAACAACAAGAATCACAGTTCAGTAAGAAAAATTTTTCCTATACTGAAATACAGTGAAAAATTTCTCTATAGAATCTTTTTATAAAAGATGATGAGCAATATGAATACAGTTCTTATAAAACAATGAAGTAACATTTTATACATGGCTTTCTCATATTACCATGAGCCGTTAGTGAAAAGCCAGTTTATAAAGCCTAGTATAGTGATGAGAGAATAGAGAAGGGCAAAATTGAGGTGGTTCAACTATGTACTTGTCTGGGGATCTGATTTACCATCATAGGAAGGAATCTTGGGGAAAAATTAATATACTCTCTTTGTAAAACAGTTATCTTAGATAAGTTTTTGGCAGCAACAGAGGAACAGTAGGTAATTAAAAATTAAAGGCACTACAAAGAACCTGAGGAGCTCTGGTAGCCTAGTGTCTAAGGCACTTGACTGCTAACCAGAGGCTGGCTGTTCAAACCCATCAGCCACGCCTCAGAAGGAACGTTGGGTAATCTACTTCTGTAGTGATAATGCCTCCAAACTCAAGTAGGGGTCACTATGAGTTGGAGACAAGTCAATAGCACCTAACAACAACAGAAAGAACCTGAAGGGAAAAATCCTCTCTCTTGTTAACTAATAGCTACAGGTTACAAATGTCAAGAATGGGGAAGAGGAATAGAGAAACTGAAAATTCCCAGCCCCTGCATTAAGCCAAATCAAGTTAAGCACTTATCCTGTTTTATAATATCTAATTCTCATTACAGCCCTGAGAGGTAGTAGCTATCATTGATGCTATTTTCACATAAGAAGAAAATTAATTTGGAGGACTAAGTCCACAAAGCTAGAAGGTGTAGAAGATCCAGATTTACTCAACTCCAAAGTTCATGGTCTTTTCACAGGTCATACGTTGAAGGGTTAGGCAGTAAATATGAAGAAGGAAGTCTGAGTTATAGTTTTGCTCCAATCTGAGTGAACTTCCGTCTATGTAGAAAGTCTTTTGCTTTCATAATGACTCTGCCAAACATTACTCTCTTCTCAAGCCTTATCAGAATCACAGGGCACAGTGAACTCTTCCTTTTTAATATATTTCATTAGTAAGTCCACAGATACCCATTAGAGCTTAATTATGATATTTGTTTACACAGTGAGGAGCTGTCAACTTGAACTCAAAACCTGTAGCAAGGCAACAAACTGGTTAATTTCTGCTGCTTTGGGGTTCTTTTGCTCTTCTTTTTCCAGTGCCATAAGGTATCCAAACCAAAACCAAACTCACTGCCATCAAGTCAATTCTGACTCACAGAGACCCCCATTGGCTTTCCAACATTGCAAATCTTTCTTCTGTGGAATAGTAGGTGGGTTTGGACCACTGACCCTTTGGTTAGCAGCCAAAAGCCTTAACCACTACACCATCAAAGCTCCTTTCTCAAGGTAAATAGTTAGGTTATTAATTACCGAGTTTTTGAGGTCTTTCTTTAAGGAAGGTGTTCACAGCTATACATTTTCCTCTAAGCACTGCTTCCCCTCTAAACATGCCATAGTTTTGGTACGTGTGTCTTCACTGTCAAAGTATTTTCTAATTTTTCTTGTGATTTTTTTCTTGAACCTACTGGTTATTTAGGAGTATGTTGCTTAATTTTCATGTATTTCTGAATTTTCCAACTTTTTTTCCTGTTATTGATTTATAAATTCTCTCTACTGTGGTTGGAGAATCGTGTGTGATCCAACTCTTGTAAACACACTGAGACTGGTTTATAGCCCAGCATATGGTCTTCGTGGTAAAAATGTTCCATGTATGCTTGAAAAGGTGTGGTCGCTGTTGTTGTGAGATGAATTTCTAACTGTCAATTAGATCAAGGAAGTTAATAGTGCTCTTCATGTTTTCTGTTATCTTTACTTATCTTCTATTTGATCTATTAAAGGAAGGTTGATGAAATCTCATTTATAACTGTGGATTTATCTATTTTTTCAGTTTTGGCAGTTTGTTGCTTTCTTTATTTTGAAGCTCTGCCATTGGTTGCATACACATTTAGAATTATGTCTTCTCTTTCAAAAAAATTGTTTTTATTGTAGTGGAAATAATATATAACAAAACATACGACAATCCAACAATTTCTACAGTGATTACATTCTTTAACTTGTGCAACCATTCTCACTATCCTTTGCCAAATGACTCCACCACCTTTACCATAAACTCAATGTCCCCATCCCTGTGAACAATAAGCTTTGGTTTCTATATACTTGCTTATTTCATATAAACCAGATTATTTAGCATTTGCCCTTTTGAGTTGACTTATTTTGCTCAGCATGTTTTTAAGGTTCATACATGTTGTGGCATGTATCAGGAGTTCATTTCTCCTTATGGCTGAGTAGTATACCATTGTGGGTATCTAGTACATTTGGTTTATCCAGTCATCTGTTGATACACACTTTGGTTGTTTCCAGCTTTGGCTATTGTGAAAAGTGCTGTAATGAATATGGGTGCACAGGTTTCTGTCTGTGCTCCTCCTTTCAACTTCCTCTGAGTATATGCATAGGATTAGGATTGCTGGATCATATGGTAGTTCTATATTCAACTTTCTGAGGAACACCAGACTGTTTCCCATAATGGCTGTACAATATTATGTTCCCACTAGCAATGGATGAGGGTTCCATTTTATCCACAGCCTTATCAACACCTATTGCTTTTCTTTTATTGTGCCATTCTAATAGGAGTGAGATGGTAGAAGGAAGGAACACTGCTGGCACAGTGGTTAAGTGCTCAGCTCCCAACCAAAATGTTGGTGGTTTGAATCCATCAGCTTCCCTGAGGGAGAAAGATGTAGCAGTCTGCTTCCTTAAAGATTACATCCCAAGAAACTCTGGGGAAAAGTTCTACTGTGTCCTATAAGGTAAGCATGAGTTGGAATTGACTTGATGGCAATGTGCTTAATGGCTAATCATGTTGAACATCTTTTCATGTGCTGTTGACCATGTGAATATCTTCTCTGGTGAACTGGTTATTCAAGTCCTTTGCCTATTTTTTGGTAATGTCACTTTTCTTTTTGTTGTTTAGGATTTTTTATTTTGTGCTAATAGGCCCTTATTGAACATATGGCTCCTGAACATTTTCTCCTAATCTGTAGATTGTCTTTTCAATTTTGTGACAAAGTCCTTTGATGAAATAATATATCTTCTTGGTGATTTCTAAAGATCATAATGTAATGCTCTTCTTTATCCTTCACAATGCTCCTAATTTTGAAGTCTACTTTGTCTGATATTACAGCTGTTCTACTTTATGCTTAGTTTTTGCATGGTTGTTATGGACTGAATTGTGTCCCTCTAAAATATGTATTGAATTCCTGACCTTTGTACCTGTGAATGTGATCTTGTTTGGAAACTGTGTTTTTCTTCTGTTATGTTAATGAGGCCATAACAGTATAGAATGGATCCTAAACCTAATCATTTCTGAGTTATAAAAAGACCAGAATAGATACAGAGACATACATATATGGAAAGACACAAATATGTGAGGGCACACATAAGTCAAGGAATGCCAAGGAACAAAAGAATGTCTAGGACTACTGACAAGGAAGAAATCAACATGGCCAAGATGCAGATTTGATCTTTTACCCTCCAGACAGAAAATAAAATTCTATTCTTTAAATCCACCCACTTGTGGTATTTGTGTAACAGCAACACTGGGTAACCAAGGCAATGTTATATTATTAGAAAGTAAGTTTCTTGTAGATAGCATATAGTTAGTTCTAGCTTTTATTTTAGCCAGGCTGATAATCTCTAAGGCATTTGATTGCTAACCAGAAGGCTGGTGATTCAAACCCACCAGCCACTCTTCAGAAGGAAAAACTGGGCAATCTACTTCTGCAGAGATACTGCCTTAGAAACCTAAGGAGGGGTCGCTATGAGTCAGAATTCACTCGATGGTAGTGAGTTTGGGTTGGTTTTTCTTTTTTTGGTTATAGTTAATAAACCAATACAAAAACAAAACAAAACAAAACAAAAACCCAAACTCATTGCTGTTGAGTTGATCCTGACTCACAGCGACCCCTCCTTGGGTTTCTGAGGTGGTATCTCTGTGGAAGCAAATTGCCCAGTCTTCCTTTGGAGGAGTGGCTGGTGGGTTCGAACCGTCAGCCTTCCAGTTAGCAGTCAAATGCCTTAGGCACTACGCCAACCAGAGCTCCTATTATTAACTATACCTCTTTTTTTTTTAGTGGTTACTCTATGGCAAGGGTTGTCAAACAATGGCTTGTGGGTCTAATTAGGCCTGCTATCTGTTTTTAAAATAATGCTTGATTAAAACCCAGCCACCATCTATTTGTTTACATATTGTCTATGGCTCTTTTCATGCTACAAGAGCAGAGTCTGGCCCTTAACAGAGAAAGTTTGCTGACCTTTCTTTGCATTATGGTTTAAATTTAAAAATTAAGATCTAGTAACAAAACTGCTTAATTGTACTCCAAATATAAAGTGCCTCAAACATTGATTTAAAGTTTATCCTCTGGAGATACAAAGTCAACTCCTCAGATGATTACTTACATTGTTTTCTTGGTTCTTGTTGTTCTTCAAGAGTGTAATAATACAATTATGAATAAAGAAAGCAAGTGTAAGCACTCCAGTCAGCTGTGGAAACTGAAATCTTATCTCTAGGAGAAAAAGAGAGGGGGAAAAAAAAATTAAAACTGACAACCAAAAGATGAATATCAGCAGCCAAAAGTTGATCACTATAAATCATCTGTTTTTTCCAGGGTGTAAGAATATTAAAACACTTTTACAATTTCTTTCAGGCCAGCATTATACTTGGACAAAATACTTGAAAAGGAAAAGAAAAAGCATCAAGAAATGACTACTCTATGCAGGTACTTTGTATCAGCTATTCCCGTTTGAGGTCATATAACTAGTATGTGTGGCAGAGCAGAAAATCAAGTTCAGGTTCTCTATTAGTTTAAAGTCCTTCTTCTTTCTAGTACTTAAATTTGCCAGAAAAAAAAAAAACAACTCTCAGAAAAGGAGTAAGTGAGGAATGTCACTTATTAATAATACTTATTATTATTAATGTCATTTAACATTCTTTACTGACTAATCCAAAAGGTATTGTTTTAAAATATTATAAACACAAGGGACTATTCAGTATCTAAAAATTATGTTGTAAAGGACATTTTTGTGTCATGGTAAAATGTTCAGGATCCAAATAGCATGTATAGCATGATTTTACTTTTATTCTTAGAAGTGTGTATATATGTGTGTATGCAAAGAAAGAAGACTGGAAGGTTACCCACAAAATGTAAATAGTGGTTATCGCTGGCAGATGGGATTTATTTTAAACTAACCACTTACTTAAATTCTCTAAATTTTCTACAATGAACACAAAATTACTTTGCAATAAGGAAAAAAGTAGTACAGTAATATATATTTTAAAAGCATTGCTGATTACTGTCATTAAAGTCTGCTAATACAGAAGTAAGGAGGTCTGGTGGTGTAGTGGATAAAGCATTTGGCTGCCAACCAGAAGGTTAGCAGTTCAAACCCAGCAGCTGATCCATAGAAGGAAGATGGGGCAATCTACTTCCGTAAAGATTTCAGCCTTGGAAATCCACGGGGGTCACTATGAGTTGGAATTGACCTGATGGCAGTGTTTGGTTTGTTTTAAATACAGGAGTGACAAAATTGATTTTATGTAGAAGATCATGATTTATTTGAAAGTAATGCTGGATCTAGGAACAGTGGGTGGCAAAATGGGGAACAAACCACTTAAGGAGATTCTAGTATAAAAAGGAGCTCTGGTGGCATAGTGCCTAAGGCATCTGACTGCTAGCCTGAAGGCTGGAGGTTCAAACCCACCAGCCACTCCTTGGAAGGAAGATGGGGCAATCTACTTCCATACTGATACTGCCTCAGAAACCCAAGGAGGGGTCGCTATGAGTTGGATCCAACTTGACAGCAGTGAGTTTTGGTTTTTAGTGTAAAAAAGCAGAAATGTGGAAAAGAAAGATCCAATGATTTTCTGCCATGTTATTTTAGGAAAGGAAGTAAGAACTACTAAGAATCAAGAACTACCTCTAAAAGAAATCAGGAATTTTAATTTAGAACACATATATACTATTATTTTCCCGCATGTTCTTTATCAATTTTCATCAGAAGTTTTCTGTGGAAGCAATTCAAGTGTATTTTTCTTAGGCAAATTCTCCCTTTTCTGATCTAGAATCTTTTTAACATTTCACTTTTCAGCAATGATAATAAATATGGGGGCAACTCTTATTTCTGGCTTTTTTTTTTTTTTTTTAATCTCTTTATAAATGGGAATAGAAGAATACTTTCTTAACAAGACTGATCATTCAGATCAACAGCATTTTACTTATAGGACTGTAACAAAGCCATCATTTTTGGAAAGAAGATACAATTATTATCTGCAAATGACATTACTGCAGATATTCTTTGCAGAGAAACATACGAAAATCTCTTTAACAAGAATTCAAAATAAGGTAGCTAGATAGGAAAAAAGTTAAAAATGAACATTTTTCTTATATACCTGTAAAAGTTGGTTAGAAGCTATAAAAATACAAAAGATTCCAGTCACAAAAGCAAAGCAGAGATAGGTATGGCCTATGAATAACTTTAATATTAACATGTCAAACTTTTCTTACAATAATTAAACATTTTACTCTGGCAGCTATGCAGTGGTACTACTCCTGTACAACTATGAGAACCTGCTAAAATGTGTGCAGTTAGCTGACAGCCTCCTGCTACTTTGGGGATTGCTGCCCTGTCCAAATGGAAGTCACATTCTCCCTGGTAGTCACACTCTCTCAGTCCTAGCTGTGATTAAGCAGAGCAGGGTACTAGGGCCTGGCCACTTCTGCCCAACCTGGTCTCCTCTATGAACAATCTTTGCACAAGAGCTCTACCTTGGGTTGGCTGATTCTTTCTGAGTTCATTCCCATCTAATCCTCCCTCTCTGACTCTATCCTTTCACAGCTATCTGAGCTACATCATGGTCTGATATAGCTGCCTTCTTCTGTTCATTTTTCTCCTTTACTTTCATAAGCTTTCACCCAATTAATTTCTCATACTTCTAATTCTAGTCAAGAAATCAAATGATGTATTGCATTGGACAAATCTGCTAAAAAGACCTCTTTAAAGTGTTTAAGAGCAAAGATGTCACTCTGAAGACTAAGGTGCACTTAGCATGACCTAGGCCATGCTGTTTTCAATAACCTCATATGCCTGTGAGAGTTTGACAATGAATAAAGAAGACCGCAGAAATAATGCATTTGAATTGTGTGGATGGAGAATATTTACTGTATCATAGACTGCTACAAAAATAAACAAATCTGGGTTTTACAAGTGCTGGTCATTTTGGATATTTAAAGTGACCGAGGGCA